TAATAAAGAATTTTAGGAAATTGGTTTCCTGTGATCTGTATTGATTGATTTACTTAGAAATACAAATTCATTGGTTGCTTAAATTTGATGTTATGAAGAGATTAAATTATATAGCGTCTTTGGTTCACTTTTGTGATCTTTTAGGCAGAGGAAGATGATGAGGATCCGGAGATTAAGGATTTATTTAAGATGGGTAGAAAAAGGAAGAAGAATGAGAAAAGTCCTGCAGAAATTGCACTGCTAGTTGAGAGTGTTATGGCTGAGCTTGAGGTAACTGCTGAGGAAGATGCAGAGCTTAACAGACAAGGAAAGCCTGCAATTAATAAACTCAAGAAGTTGCCACTTCTTACTGAGGTTCTCTCAAAGTAAGCTGCTTGCCACATTACCAAGACTTCCTTGTCTCTATCTAGAAATTATGGTTCTCATCTTTTAAATTTACTCTTTATGCAGGAAGCAGCTCCAGCCAGAATTCTTAGATCATGGAGTTTTAACCTTGTTGAAAAATTGGCTTGAACCTCTTCCTGATGGAAGCTTACCAAATATAAATATCCGTGCAGCTATTTTGCAGATTTTGACCGATGTACAAACTGGCCTTCTTTCAATTTTGGGCTGTGCCGTAATGGTCACTGCCTCAACATTCTTACATGAAAAACTGAAATGTTGTTTTTCATGCAGTTTCCAATTGATCTAGAGCAACATGATAGAAGGGAGCAGCTAAAGAGAAGTGGTCTTGGAAAGGTTAGGAACCCCTTATTGTAACAATTGCATCCAGCTTTCTATTGCAAAACATCTTCGATTGGCTTTTGATTCTTTGTTCTCTCAATTTTTATTGGCAGGTCATTATGTTTTTATCAAAATCTGATGAGGAAACAACATCTAACAGGAAACTTGCCAAGGAGTTAGTTGATAAATGGGTAATATTCTGGTTTAAGCTCTTATACAAGTTTCTCCTATTTCCCGAGGTTCCTCTTTGGATTTATATCAGCAATACTCGTGCATTGTGACCTTTATGTTAATCATTTAATTTATTAGTATGTTGCTTATCGGAGTGTAATTTATGATTGCTGAATTTTCAGTACTTATGATTTCAGTAGAAACTTACCTTTTTTAATCAATTTTTGTTTGTCAAGTTTACACTTCTCCAGTTGTCTGAAGAAGGTTTATTTTGTATTTTCAAGGGCTTCTTTTCTATCTTGTTGTATTAACTCTTCAAAATAATTTCAAACGTATTGCAGAGTAGACCAATCTTCAATAAGAGTACAAGGTTTGAGGATATGAGAAATGTTGATGATGATAGGGTTCCCATGCGAAGGCCGACTGTCAAAAGGTTCTCTTTGTTTTCAGTTTTATGCCAATTATGACTTCATGTCTTCTTACAGTTTTCTTTTGCAATCATGCATTTTCATATTGTGTTTCTTTTTAATTTTTTTAATATTCATTTGCAGGCCTGCAAATAGAGCTGCATCAATGGAATCTAGAGATGGTGATTTTGATTTGGATATTTCCCGGTAAGATGTAACCTAATGCTTGGTTTGATATCATTATTGTGATTCTGTATCCTCGTGGTTGTAATTGTTGGATATAAAATTACAGTGACCAAAAGTCTAGGCGATTGACATCAGCTCAAGATGCTTCAAGGTCAGAATCCTCTTCAAGGCTGCATGCATCAAGGCCTGATGCAACACCATTGGATTTTGTAGTGCGCCCCCAGTCTAAGATTGATCCTGATGAAATTAGAGCCCGTGCGAAACAAGTTGTGCAAGATCAGCGGCGTCTGAAGGTTTATCTCCCTGATATTGAATGTGTTGGTTTCAATTATTTGGAAATGGTCTTTTTTTGGTTAATGAAACAAAAGGGGATGTTTATCTATATATCATTCCTACAGCCGCCTGACTCTGTAACATCTACCTGATGCCTCCTTAAATCTCCATCTTGCTTAATAAAAATTGATATATACTATAGATTATCTGAAATTGAACGTTAACCTTTTCATGGCAGATGAATAAGAAGTTGCAGCAGTTGAAAGCTCCTAAAAAGAAGCAGTTGCAGGCTACTAAACTTAGTGTCGAGGGTCGTGGTATGATGAAGTACCTTTAAAAGATACCCCATTCACTAGAGTTGCAGTGGTGGTGTGAACCGAATCGCAATATTAATATGCTCTGCTATCAGAGACATTGTGGCAGCAAAAATCAATATAAGCTCTCTGTTGCTTTGAAGATTTACTTTTTAAGTATTGTGTTTTACTTTCACCATGATGGCGGTGGGGGCAGCTGGGTTCCCTTTTAAGTCGTAGAAGTCTTTCATTTTGCCTTGGAAATAGACGTCCAGTTCAAATAAATTTGTTAATGTTGTGTCTCGGAATGCTCATTTCATTTAACCATATAACAATAACCATTTGGATCGTAATTCTGTTGTGCTTGCAATAATTAGATATCTTGTATAACATTTCTTTTATAATATCTAATAAGGGGCATTTGGTTCGTGGAAAAGATCATTATCAAAGGGAATAATATTTTTCAGAATTGTATTTCAATGTATGGTTCATGACTTTCAAATTCTTAGGTAATAAATAATTCTTACCACTTTAAAATTTTTGGATATAAATATTATTATATATAATAAATTTGTCATATAGATTATTCTTAATTCTTATTCTTCATGTTTAATTCAAAATTATAAACTTAATAATAATATGCAAAAGTTTAATTTAGTAAAATATTGATAAATTTATGTAGTTAAAATTATTTTGTATTTTAATATTTAGTATATTAATTATTTTATAATTTTTTGAGGTGAAAATATTGTTATGGTAAAAAAATATAATTGTTTAAAATAATATTTAATTTTGAGTTATTAAAACATAGATTTTATATATTGAAAAATAATATATTTGTCCACTCGAGATCACAACATTATTTTTCATATTATATTATATTTTATATAAATAAATATGATACTTATAAAAATGATTTAAAATTATAAGTTTGATATACTAATTATATTAATTATATGCTACATGTATTTTTTTAAAATTTAAATAGTGTAATATTTAAAATGTTTTTATAAATTGTTATTTAAATATTTATAATTTAATATTAAAGTTTTATTTGTTAAAAAATATAAATATCACAAGAATAATTTGATAAAATATGTATCCAAGTAATCTTATATTCTACCAATCAAACATTATAATCTTGCATTCCTGCTAAGCAAATCAAACAGAGTAACAATATTACCATAGAAATGTTACATTGCGATAATTATATTCTCAAAAGTAATCTTACATTCCGTAAATCAAACGCACCTAAAATGTATACAAGTCATTTGATTTGATGATCCGGTGAGTCGAGGCAACAGACTCATCTAAACCAATCGAGTCGTCCATTGGTTTCTTCCATCGATGTGCTGCCTGAATGACCAAAAAGACATGGAGGGTTTGTAGCTTTTGGCATTTTCACAGATCAGATTGACCTTGATGACATGCTTTCAAAAGTTTCCTTCGACCATTCACAGTCGCGGAAAGCAAAGTCTGATCCAGGATTCCAAACTAAATGTTTTCTGTTTCTGCATTTCTTACTTTGCAACGCCTGCGCAGGCAATGCATGCTGTCTCGAATCAAAGACAAGAAGAGGAAAATAATTCGGAACCAAAGCTTTTCATTTTTTACAACCTAGTGCTCTCTACCTGTAACAAAGTATGGAAGCCAAAAAAATAATACCCCTAGGATCAAAAATCAAAATTTTCTCATCAACAACCTTTCATAAAAGCTAGAACAACAACAACAACAAAACCCTATTCCCATATGCAATGGGGTAAGAGAGATGTAGGATAGTACGCTGCCCCAACGCCAGATTGAGAGCAACTTTCGTGGAAGACATCCGACAGTCAGAAAATTAAAAAATAAAGATAAAATACAATGCATGTATAAATAAATACATAGTTGAACAATCTTCATATGCAGTCTACATATGCGCGTCTGTAATGGGAAGTAATCCCTGCAAATAAATCTCTGCATATAGACAGAAACGTAAGTCGGCTAAATTTAAAAAGAGAAAAATCGTTGGATTTTAGATCAAACATCCATCACTACTTGTAAAATGTTACCTCTATTTTTGTAATATATATCCTGTCTTATAGCCAGGTATCTCATATTAATAAATACTCGTAATCAACCCAAATAAATTATCTTTGAATTATGATTAAAAAACACAATTGTCAATGTGTCACAATTATTACGTTTATTTTCATATTAGAGTAGATCACATTTATATTTCACTAACGGTAGTACTAATTATGTTGATTTCATGTTAACTTCATATAGTTATGCTTAAATTTTAATGAGAATTAGTGTAAGAAAATTGAGGAAATAATTAATGCAAAAATATCATGATTTGCACGATGATCATCGGAAATTCGGATCAAACGTAAAATATTATCAGAGCATTGAACAATTTGTCAATCACATTCATCTTCAAATAAAAATTACAGCTACCCCTAATTTATAATTCCACTCAACATTGCAAAACGTTTAGCTTTTACCTAGACGATGCATCATCCATACCTGCAAAAATTGCAGCCAACAACGTTGCGAGTTTTTCGGATCAGTTATCGTGCAACGACTTCATTAAATACAATCTGTTGAAGCTCTGCCCAGCAACCCAAAGACCAGAAAAATAATACCCCTAGGATCCAATCAGTTTAAAGAATGCCAAAAACAAACGTTACACCGGTTTCTAATCCGGTCCGGTTTTGTCAAGTAAGCATAATCAAGCTGGTAGGTGAATGGGGCCCACCGGACATGGTTCTCAACATCCATTTTTGACTGTTTTGTGCTGACTGCCGATTTACTCTTCTAGTTTCGTTTGCTGATTACTGAGTCACGGAATCTGCGATTCAAGCTATCCCTATCGGTTCTTTAAAGCCTTAAAGTTCGTTTCAGTTTTCTTTTACTTATTTGAATTACACAGGTTTCAACTCCCAGATCCTAATCGTTGACGACGATGGAAGTGTAAGTTTAAGTTCATTATAGCAAGATTTCATTAAATTTTAATTTATTTTGTTGTAGATTAGCACGAATTATGAAAAGGATATCCTACTTTCGATCATTCCTATGATTTAATCTTAGTTTACTCTGATCAATGATTGTTAATACTACAGTGTTGCTTCTGCTCCGGGGAAGGTTTTGTTGACTGGTGGGTACTTAATTTTGGAGAGGCCAAATGCTGGGATTGTTCTGAGCACAAAACGCACGTTTTTACGCTATTCTGAAGCCAATTTATGAAGATGTTAAGCCTGAAAGGTGGGGCATGGGTAACTTAATCCTTTAGTTTCCGTGCTTCAACCTATCCTGCTATAGTTGTAATCATTTCCATGCTTTTGAGAGTTCTGAGAGCTTATCATGTTCAATTTGATGGTAAATAAGGAAATCTGACACTGAATTGTAAAATTAACTCAACTAAGAAGCTTGTGTCTCTGATACTGACCCCTTTTATGTGCTTGTTGGATTGTCATGCTTTATAACTGTTGATTCCTTGCTCTACAAACAGGAGGCTTGATAGTAGTTTTCTTGCTTGCTGGAATCAGCAAATTCACTTACAAATGCTATTGCAACTTTCCAATGGAGGATCATGCTTTACTGGTCTCCTCAGCTTTCCAGAGAAAGCATGTACAAACTGTCTCGGAAACATTTAACACTTCAGTGTGTATCTTCAAGGTAAGTTTGGTCATATGATCAAAGTTTTTTCCTTGCACATCTAGCGTCGTAGTCGTAGTAGGTTGCATCCTTTGTATTATGGATGCCTATCAGCATCATAGATTGCATCTTTTCTATCATTGATGTGTATCTAGCAGTAAATAAGTTGAAGTAGTTATTCCGTATGTCAAGTTGTGTCACTATTTTTTTGCATATAATTCCAGTGAATCAAGAAACCTTTTTGTAGAGAATGCAATTCAATATACTATAGCAGCTGCATATGCGACATTTGACAAGAATAAGAAGGATGCATTAGATAAACTGCTCTTACAAGGTGATGTTTTACATTGCATTTATTTATTTTCTCTTTTTTATTGAAACCATAACTTCAGGGATCTAATAACAGATCTGAACTTGTCATGCAGGTCTTGATATCACGATCTTATGTTGCAACGACTTTTACTCATACAGAGGTTTCTTTGTAGAAATAAAATATATTTTTTGAGATGATTAGTTACTATTTTATTATGGCATGCAGATTTTAGTAACTGTTGCCTGTTCTTGTATTTTAGTACTGCAATATAAGCTGCTAACATGTTCCTCCACAGTTTGAAGCACTTGGACTTCCATTGGCACCAGAAGCATTGGCTACTCTACCACATTTTACATCAATTACTTTCAACTCTGAGGAATCACATGGAGGAAATTGTAAACCTGAAGTTGCAGAAACTGGATTGGATTCATCTGCAGCAATGACAACAGCTGTGGTTGCTGCTTTACTACATTACCTTGGTGTTATTAACCTTTCCACCTCTTCCGAAGATCAACACCGACTAAATAAGAATTCCATGGATCTTGATATCATGCATATGATAGCTCAAAGCGCTCACTGTATTGCCCAAGGTAAAGTTGGCAGTGGCTTTGATGTCAGTTTTGCTGTCTACGGGAGTCAGTGTGATGTTTGTTTTTCACCAGAAGTGCTTTCTGCTGCTCAGGTCTCTCTCTCTCTCTCTCTCTCTTACACATTCTCTAAGGTTCAGAGGTTGGAATAATGTGCAATAATGATGTTCTGAATACATAAACATAGCTCAATGACCAGTAAAGTAAAGTGCTACCCATAAAATACACTTAGTCCTTAAATTTGTGCAACCATTTTTTGTTTTTCTGGTGTACAACTGAACCTTAGGTTGATATAGAGTGAGATGACACTAAGTGTATTTGTTACCATTTAATGCTATTGCAGTGCTGCTTGTTACCTTGGCTGGATTATTGACTTATTTGGGTTCTTTACAAGACCTCTTGCAATGTTGCAGGCTGCAGTGAAAGGGATGCCATTAGAGGAAGTAATTCGGAACATTCTAAATGGAAAATGGGACCATGAGAGGACTGAGTTCTCTGTACCACCATTAATGACACTCGTAAGCATTATGAGCTTCACTATCTTCCCACTTAGACAAATATGATTTTGTGAGCATTTTTTGTACTTTATCTACGTGTTTCTGCTTAATTACTTGAATATTGTCAGAAAGTTATCTCCTTATTACTTATGTACTTAATAAGTTTCCCCCCCTTTATTTTGTGAAGAAAGTGAAAGGTGGCTTGGCCATCTTATGAATATCTTTTTTATTACTAAAAATCAAGTATAAGTATCCTATGGTCAAAAAGTTTGTTGGCTGTCACAGTTACTAGGAGAACCGGCAACTGGTGGATCATCAACACCGTCAATGGTAGGTGCTGTTAAAAAATGGCAGAAGGCTGATCCCGAAAAATCCCAAGAAACATGGATAAAGCTAGCCAAGGCTAATTCAGAACTCGAGATCCAACTCAACATGTTAAGAAAATTAGCTGAAGAACATTGGGACGCTTATAAATGTGTGAATGTGATTGATAGGTGTAGCAGGCTTAAACAAGCAAAGGTATTGTTTTAGACTACTCCCCAACATTGAAGAACTTAAGAAATAGAAATTCCTCGTTAATTTTTTACTGACTTTTGAACTTATAGCAAAAGAACCATTTAATTTTGTCATACCTAGTTTTTCAGTGTGCTCTCTTGCCCAGGAAGATTTTTGAGTGCAGAAGATATTTTAATATCCTTAATTCCAAGTCAGCTTCTTTTCGAAATAGTGATATTCTTCCAACCATGCCAAGCTATAGTCACAGACTCAATAGTCTGGGAGGATCCACTAAGCTATAAAAGAACTGTTTACTTGTTTGTATTGCTCGGGTAGCTCGAATTTCGTTTTCAATTTCTTGGCTTGTATATTTGGTAGATGGTTGGTTCAATAGTCAAAGAAGGCTTTATTCATCATAAACATTAAGAAAGTTGGTGTGATTGTTTGGTTAAATTGTCTAGTTTTCTCGGTTCATTTTGTGTTCTCTTCCTTCCAAATGCCTACTTCCAAGATGGTCTACAAAACCAATTGCATGGACAGTGGTGGAGGGAGTGACTGAGCCAATCAAAGAAGCAGTTGTTAAAGCATTGCTAAGGGAAAGGGAGGGTATGCTTGAGATTCAAAATCGAATGCGAACGATGGGAGAGGATGCAGGCATTCCGGTACGTTATTGTCGTTTCGATTTGATGCTTATAAATGTCCGACTTTGCATTCTTATTTTGGTCAAGATGTAGAAAAAAATAGTAAGAGACTGAATAATTTTTAAATTTCAGATAGAACCTGAATCACAAACTCAACTTCTGGATGCTACTATGAACATGGAAGGAGTATTGTTAGCTGGCGTTCCCGGAGCAGGTGGATTCGATGCCGTCTTTGCTGTTACCTTGCGTGATTCTAGCAGGAATGTGACAAATGCATGGAGTTCGCACAATGTTCTGGCCTTGTTAGTTAGGGAAGACCCTCAAGGTGTTTGCTTCGAAAGCGGCGATACGCGATGCCGGGAAATTCTTCGGCAGTTTCTTCCGTCAACGTCTAGTGAGCTTTTGATTTCTTGTTTTTGCATATGATGAGTTAGGAATGTCATTTTAATACTTGGTGGGAAATGTGGATTTACATGAGAAATTATACCGTGTTTTGGAGATTTATGAAATTGGGGAATGATCAAAAGAAGAACCCCTCCCCATTGAAAGAATCAACTGTTATACACATTTAAGTTCTCTATCTGCCATGAATAAGAAAAAAAAGATTATTTTTACACCATTTGTTCGACTTCACTTGGCTTATTTTGCTTGACCAGCCACTTACATTTTAGCAGGAAATCAACTACTGTGAGCAAGAAAGTATAAACATATTTAGTCAGTAATTCAGCTGTGCGGCGGGGAAACCTAAGAATAATTTGCGACGAATTAAAACCTAAAATGTTATAATTTCTACTCCAAAAAATTATACAATTGATAATAATTTTATTTATAATTGATAATGTTTCAATTAGGGGTGAACAAAACTCTACTTGACTCGAAAAACTGATTTTTTTTACTCAAGAAGACTCGACTCGAATTGACATCGAGTTTTAATTTCATAAACTCTATTTGACTTAAAAAATTTCAAGTTCAAATAGAGTTGTCAAATAACTCGAATAACTAGAATAGTAACTCGAATAACTCAAAAATTTTAATAATTAATGGATTGGTTTTTAAGTTTGAGTTGAATCCTTCAACTCTATATGATATATGTACGTCATATAACAGAAAAATATGAAGAATATATTCTATATAGTTATAAAAACTAAAATCAAATAATATTATAAATATTTATAATTAAATTAAAATAAAAACTTCAACAACGTGAATAGATTCAAATTATAAATACAACAAGTGGATTAAGAAGGTAAATATGTAGCCGCCTCACATGTTGTTCAACTTGTTGGTTGTAGCATGTATTGTTGGCAGGCAAGACAAATGTTCTCGTACAAGATTCTGGGCCTTCTCAACATGTGTTTCTCGTTCGTTTTCCAACTGAAGCATGAATGGTATGTTTCTCAAGGTAAACTCTTTTTGTTTTAATCTTTTGACCTTGACACTCCAAGTGGTGATGCTCACCTTCAGGGTCTTCTTGATCTCGATATTATTGTCTCCTTATGATCGAGATTTTCTGGGAATACCCTAATGCGAGACCTTCGAGAGTCAATATTTGATTTTGAATGATTTGATCCTCGTGCCATTCGTTAACGACCACATGTAGTCATCTTAGGCAAACAGAAGTGTCGCCACGTGTCTTCCTTGTTCTAATCAAATAGTTTAGGGGCCTTCTCTTTCTATGAGGTCTTAAAAACAGATGGACACTTAAGAAGTGACCAAATTTTCTTTTATATGAATTGAGACATCAAGAAATTTCAAGGTAAGTTGTGCCTCTTCTTGTTCAGTCCGTTATCTACTTATTGACTGATCATTGATGTTGACATCATCACAAAATTGTGAAGAGTTTCATTCTTGGATCTTCTAATTTTCTAACCTTGTTATTCAGAAATCTGGGAACATCTTTATTGTTCCCCCATCGTTTATATCTTTGATTTGACTTCTGTTTGTGATCTTGCTTATTTGCTTGAGGCAGAATGAGCCTCGTCCACTTCAAGGACCTCTTTCTCGAAAGATTATCCTGTTTGAAAATGTTTTTCTTCCTCTTTTGTGAAAAAAAGTTTGATGCATAAGTTTTTTTTTTAAAAATGCTTCCATTTTCTTTAGGCTCACAATCAAAGCAAATTTTGAAGCAAGAGTTTATTGAATGTCAAGTAAGTTAAATTATCTTTTAATCCTTCAAAAAATATATCTATTTGAAAAGTGTAAAGATTGATGTTGATTTAAGTCTTAGGTTGACTTGCGGAGGTAATGTGTTTCAGGTTGGTTTCTTTGGTTAAGGGCTAGCTTTCTTGATTATGGTGTTCATTGATCTGATGAAGTAGCTGTTATGCTTATCTTCCGAAAATGTTCACTGGTTCCCAGCCCTCGTGAGCGCCTTTGGGTTGTGCAATGCTTTATCAAGAGATGTATAAGATCATATTCTATGCAGTAGTTGGCAATATTTGCATTCGAGCTACCTTTTAGGTTTTCAACTCGAATTCTCCTTTGGTTTTAAGACGTCATCTAAAATTTTACGTCTTAAACCATCATTTTGTTATTTTTCTTATCATGCATTAAAGATTTTAGAAAACCATTTTTTGCAAATAAAATTAACCCTGAGGGGCAGAATGAAATCTGAAGATAGTATCTCCACTAAAAATCCATGTATGATTAGAAGGAACTTTTCGGGCACATAACATTGGCTAGGGCTCACAGTTTTGAAAGAAAGAGATAAATATGCCCAAACAAGTGTTTAAGGGTGATCAAACCAAGGATCAACTTGTCAACCGTTTCATTTTCTTTATTTTCCTAGATCCCTCTAGACTACCCATTTTTGGGTTTTCACCCTAGAGTTCATCTCCATCTCGTCATGCCATAGCATTCTTGATCTTCTTATTGAATCTGGATATCGAACTAGTCGTACTTGATCAACCTTGTGGTTTGAGGATTATTGAGTCACTCGTCTTGAAGTATTTTTCTTTATTCTTTTTTTCCTTTCTTTTCTCTCTTTCTTTCTTTATTTTCTCTATTTTTTATGTTTTTTCTTTTTGCTATATCTTCTCTTTTTTCTCTCTGTGTTGTCAAATTGATTTTCTCATCAAGCACTTTGTATTTGGTCCACTTTGCGATATCTTGTTATTTCTCACTTTATTTCACCATGACTTGCCTCTGTAACAAAATCTGGATTGGTGGCTTTCATTCTTGAAAGCATATTTCCTTCACCTTGCCCCCTAGTGTGGAGAGTGATCCTTGGTTAGGGTTAAATCAGAAGAAAAATACTACAGGCTCAAGTAGGGGACAACAAGGGATGTATACATATATATAGGGATAAATGAAAGAAACTCGTTCATCATTTTACACACTGAGGTTGTAATATCCCAAAATCAGGGTGAGTGACTAAAATGAAATTTTTGTAACTTTGAAGTATGATTTCAAAAGATTGTAAATGCAGGGACTTATTTATAAATATTTTTGAGGGATTGTTGGTAATTATTAAATAAAGTAAAGGGTAAAATGGTCATTTGACAAGAAAGATTTTTATTTTCCCTTATAAGATAAGGAAACCACGTGGGAAAAGAGAAAAGGTTCCAGAGTTCTATTCTCTTCTCTTATTCCTTCTTCATACGTGAAGGCTTGAACAAAAGGTGAGTCTTCTATTTAGATAATTTCTGGTTAAATTTAAGGTTGAGTTATGATCATTAGATGATAACTAAGCTTAAGGAAATCTTAAGTTATCTTAAAATCAAAAGATAAAGGAGTTAAGGAAGATTAAAGATTTGGAGTTCTTGAGTGAAATATTGAAATAGAGTTTATAATACGAATTGAAAGTTGAATTTGACTTGCCATCAATAATAATAAGGGTTTATGAAGTTAGAAAGGATTAATAACAAAGTTGAAAGTTTAGTAAGATTCTTAAATTTTAAGAATCATGATGAGATATGGAAGATAAAGATGGTTTATATGGATATAAGTTGGTTATGTAATGGTAGCTGAGTTTAATGACATGATAGGGGCTTAAAATACAAGAATTGAGTGGTTTTCGGGCTTAAAATGCAAATTTTGGGCAAGGTGTATCAATGCACATTCAATGTGTATCGATGCTTTTTAAAGAAGAAACATCAAATGATATTAGTGCATCGATGCACTACCTTAAAATGAAAACATCGAAGGTGATTGGTGTATCGATGCATGGGTAGTGCATCGATGCACATGTTAAAGGATGCATCGATACACTATAGAATGTATCGATGCACTTCAATAGGAAATGGAATAAATCTTTATTTCATTCTAAGAAATGATAGATTAAAGTATATCAATTGGATAATGATAAGTATCAGTACATGATTATGTAGATATCGAGCATGAACAAGTTCCAGGACCACTATCAAGTTAAGATTCGATCGAAAGAAAGGAATCATAAAAGGGGATTGGAACTTAGTGAGACCAAGGTGTGTGTGTATTATTAGAATATACGTATTGTATATGGAAATTAGACTTGCGACAAGTCTGTTTCCAATATGTTGAATATATGATTATGTTTGATATTACGTGAATATGCTTAGTTCGTATTACATGTTATGTGGTATGAATTTATATGATACGTGTTATATGGAAATGATTTATGTATTATAGGAAAATGTTATATGAGTTATATGAACTTGAGATATAAATTATAGGATCACGAACTATGTAAAATACCAATGCCTCATGTGATAACAAAAAGGAAGTGACTATATAAACATATAAGATAAATTATATGGGAAATATTTATAGGCTTAAATGAATTTATAATAAATAAGATATATAGTAAAAATATATGAAGCCATAGAGATATATTATAGGAGCTTTTGATGATAATTTATTAGAAGATTTGTATATGTGATAAGCTATGTGAAACTGAACTAGGTAAATATATAAAATTAATAAATAAATGATGGGAGATAAGTAATTATGTAAAACATGGAGTTATGATATATATATATATATATATATATATATGAAAATGTGTACATGAATACATGCATAAGTGAGATATGTTTATAGGTTATAATATGTTACAGAATCTATGTGAATATAAAAGTATAAACCATAAGTTATATGATATGAGATAAGTTATTATATGTACATGTGAATTATATGGAAATAAACTATGTGACTAAGTGTGATCTTATGAAATGTGATAATGAGCTATGTGATATATGAAAGAGAAAGTATATGTGATAAGTGAAAGTGAATCATATGATTACATGAAGATGTGAAACGATATAAAGATAATGCCCATGTTATGTGTTATGAGATCTAGAGATATAGTTGGCATGCCAAGAGTTGAGGGTCTACGCGGTCTTTCGGGACATAGTGGTTCTCCGGGACATTTCATAGTGGTCATTCGGGACAAATTTCATAGCCCCTAGTGGGACCCCATACAAGCTGTAGTGACAGCATAGTGTACAACATCAATAGACTCACATATCTATAGTTCTCGCAGAGGTACATGGGC